TCTCTATTGGCCTGAATTCCAGACATCGAATCAGATGTGAGGCTTCTATTTCTATTCAACATTTCTAAGGGCACCTATTCGTTGCTTGAATGCCTTCTTTTATGCATTTGCTTGATCGTTTGCCTTTGGGTGACTGCCTGCTGGCCTCTGTGTGTGAAGTACAATTAGTTTATCAATAGCGTCACTCATTTTTACTCAATCCTCCTAGCTATTGCCCTTAGTTACTTTAACATCACTGAATGCCAACCGTCATTCGGTTATTTCCTGGTTTTCTATTCATTTCGTGGGTACAAGGCTAACACTTGTGAAGCTTTAATGGGTGTACCTCAAAATGCTACAAATGATAACTCAACAGTTGGCAGAAACTTCGGTTCTTATTAATAACAAATTTTGCTCTTACTCAGTGCAAAACTTTTTGGGATTAAATGTAAAGTCTATACCAAACGAATCTAAAAAAAATATTTTCTTGATCATATTGAAATCCTACATTGAATCTTCACTGCAAATACGGATGTTTCTCTTGCTATTTAGAGGAGTTTCTTATTTTGGTTTTATTAAAATTGTTTTCAAGCAATAGAAGAATTAAAGCATCAAACAAAATAACTTATATTATGTATTTGACCTAGGGTCAAGGGCAGAAATCTCAAAGATGATCAGTAGTCATCGACTTTGGGACATGAGTCATCATTTTCCCCTTAAAAATGACATTGTCACTCGAATTCATAGTGTTGAATTCAAAGAACTAAGTTCTATCATAAGTATCAGATTGAGAATATTAACGACTTAACATAGGAATAAATTTTAAATACTTCGTAAAATATCATTAATACTCAAACGCAATCGGTCAATGGGAGTATGAGAATTTTAGGCGAAGTAAGTTGAGACTAATACAGCCTTCTCTTGATTTCTGGTGAAAAGTACCATATTTGTGTTCGGCAATGAAATTGTGTTTAGAATGTCCTATTTACATTAAATTAAGGGTTTACACGCATGGAACTATTTATTTTTAAATTATAAATCATATAAAATCTTACCGCGTATTGTTGATGCTCGAAAATTTCACATAAGTCGTTAACACGCCTTTCAAGCATAAGATCTTGCTCAAATTTACGCCAGTACCTTTCACTGTCCTCTGACGATAGGAAATAACTGTGGTGTCCTGGAAATGAATGTGCAGGAGTCGACGTTTCCTCATATTCAGTATGGTTGAGAGGATGACGCAGAGTATCAAGCCTAGCCGATGAGGAAACTGTGCGCCGCAGCCCACGTAGACGAAATGGATTGAAGTCAGGCGGATTATCTTCCACTGGAGTGTAACCATCTATTGAAAATTATAAAAGGAATCGGAAAAGAGAACAATTTACTGTCTACTTCATTCTTCTAATCTAAAACTGACTTTTCGACGTTGTAGAGTACCTTCTGAAGGAAATGTTCGTGCGAGCAGCGGGCTTCTCAGCTAATCAGCTATCAATATTCATTTGCATACACACTACTCAACGACTTCTTTTGAGATAGCTTAACAATTACGAGAGACTTTCTATACTAGGATATTTTGTCATATAGGTAACCGATTATATGGGCAGACTAACTCGTAAAGTAGATCGTAACAACAATCAGAATGTTGTCCCCTTCTTAGCAAGTGTGTCAGCAAGCTCATTGCTTTTAATGCCACAGTGACCAGGAATCCATTGTAGGACCACTGTTTTGTTTTTCTCTCTCAGCAGCTCATAGAGTTTTCTACATTCATTTACCTCAGCTGTTTTGGGTGTCTCTCTGTTTCCAATAGAGTCTATTGCTGACTGTGAGTCCGAAAGTATCACCGCTTTGGTGAATTTCGTATCCAGGCAACATAATTGGCATAGTGCTATCTTAATAGCCTCTATTTCTCCTTCAAAAGCGGATCTATTATGTCCCGCTGCTGCGTAGAAAGAGAAGAGTTCAGAATAGACACCTGCACCAACGTTTGCTTGGCTTTCTATGTATGACCCATCAGTGAAGACTTGGAGCCATTGATCTGCAGGATAGTTGGCATTGATTGTCTCAAGGGCCAGTGAGCGCATTTGCCCTGGAGGAGTGTTTGATTTCCTGAAGAAGTCGAGCAGTTGGGTGCGACACACTACATCAATGTCTGCTAATGGGTTCATGGTGAGAGGGAGGCTTTTTGGTTTATCATCGATTTGTACCGCTTTCTTCAGTTCCATGGCTTTCTGTATTAGACCAGATTGCGTTTTCAGATGTCTTGGTCTATTCTCATAGGT